TTGTTTTAAATGTTATCACATACTACATACTTTTAACCATTTCTATACAAATCATTATAATGATTTCAAGGCTAAAAAAATCATAATTGGGCACAAGTGTTAATGGAAGAAAAAATTTTTTACCAGATATCAAATTTTTTCACTCAACTACAATCACAGGTCAACTTAAGAATCTAACCTCCCCTAAGAAGTATTTCAGCAATGGAGTATTTATCTTAATTTTCGGTCCGAAGAGATCGTTTTGAGAATTCTTGACGAGAGTGGGAACAGATAGTAATGTTTATCAGGGGGTAAGGCGATCCCCTTGGTATTTTGTCTGCGGATATTCTTCCGAGGAGTTCCTGAAAAACAAGCCGCTTCTCTCATTACTTCAAAATGCTTTTATTATCATAGCTCTTCTATACTCAAACAGACACACATTTTATTGGTAACAACAAATATCTATAATTTAACCGTTATTTATAGATGCATTGAAAATAAATTGCAGCCGATAATAAATAGCACAGCCATTAAAATTCATATTTAATTAAGCCTTGTAGGGATCCCACCACCGACAACAACAACAACAAACAAGAGCAAATGCTTTTCTATTCGAAATACATCGTTAGCTTTGCCCCTGGCCAATCAACGCATGATTCAGACCGAGTTCAATGATCTGCCGCAAAGTAAGGGATTGTTCTATGAACATTTTAATGATGAATTTGCAATTGAATTGATTAAAATCGAAATCTACAGTGTGGGCCGCGTAATTAGAACAGCTTATATATTTAATGAATATTTTTAAGTATTTTTTGTTTTAAATATTTTTTTAATCGTGTACTAATAAAAACTACTAAGTAATATAGAATACGTTGGTATTCACGAAGTGTCGAGCCAACTATAAATTCAAAAAAGTTTATCTTTAAAATATCTAAATATATGCGGTCATTATTCATTTAGAGAGACAGCGGATCTTGGAATACCCTTTTAATACTTCACATTCGAAGGAGGGAGAATTTACTTCAATATACAGGGTTGACAGCAAAAAAAGGTAATAGAGTAATTATAAATGTAACATTCGTTTTACAAAGAGCATTACTCAATTCCGAAAAATATTCTTCCTGATGTCAATTAACAAAAACTTTTAACAATCTCAGGACATCGGGACTTCTTTTTTTTTTTTTTTTTTGAATAAAATTTACTCAACCTCTTCACCATATTTACATATCCTGTGTTCGACAAGTTTTTAGCTTAGCTTAGAAGGTCCCGTTTCTCTCTCGCTTCCCGAATTGAGGTGTTGGTATTTTCCCATTATATAGCACATAAAATATATTATAATTCGAAGAATGGACGGAAATCTGCACAAATATTTCAATACAATTTTCAACGCAAAAACTTGTAAAAAAGTCGTACTTTTTAACGGAAGTATTTGCCTATCGCGGTGGCAATTATTAATGTAAATTGATGAACTTTGCACCGTTCAAAAAAGGTGTGTTTCGGGGAAGGATGTTGAGGGAGCAGAAAATTAAAAAACATCTCCCACAAAAAGACAATAAACAATTCTTTTTTAATTATTAACTTAAATAAACAACGCCCACCATTTTAATGACGACAATGACCGACATTACCAACGGCCCCAATTCCAACTCACCATACAAGTCATTACAACAGCAACAACAACAGTGCGAAACAGATGGACATGTTTCCAAAGGTGTTGTCTCCGCTTCAATTCTCCCACAATGAAACCGAATGAAAGGCTCTCGTTGGTCACACGACACGACATGGCCAAAAGGACAAAAGGCCCAGTGACGACAGGATGAGAATCGAAATAACGACCACATACAAAACCGCATATGTTTCTCGCCGTATTTAAATGTGGACAAACAGAGGACGGACATCGCAAGTGCTGGCAAAGCGAAAGCCCATCACGGCTATACTGCCACGAGAAGAATAAGTGAAAACCGCAAAGGGCTTAATGAAAATCATAATACAACCCCTGGTCATACATGGTTACAGTTTCGCAGCCAAACCAGGACAAAGAAAAAACGGAAGGAAGGCCGGATAAATTATTTCAAACATTTTGTGGCGAACCTTTGAGTCATGGTCGGACAGAATTGTCCATGCCTTGGAGTAGCATTCAATCTGGTCCAAAAGTCGAAAATCAATTCATACACCTCAGTTCAACCACCCTCCGCCGTCCTGGGGAGAGACCAGCCATGGCATTATTAAAATGCATCAATAAAATAAAAGCAGCAACAACGACGAAAATATTAAAGCGAGTGTATTGGACTTTTTCAATGAATATTTAAATCAAGAGGATGCCGCACCAGCAGGAAAAAATACTGGCCGTAGAATTTCTGCCGCTCAATTGGATTAAATGGAAACCGGCTGAAATACATTTGCATGGATTCTTAAAATATGTTGTTATTTAAAGAAGTAAAGAATAATTTAAACATTTTTACAAAATAAAATGTGAGAATATTATCTTGTTGATAACATCAGAAATACATTTTTGGCAATGTTCGAGGCATGGCCTATAAAAGGTCGGGCAGTGGCTCATCCGACAACTAAGTTTGCAGTCAAAAAAAAAAACATATTGTGATTCAAAGGGAGTCAAATCACAATAGTGCAAAAAGTACCAAGTTTATGTTCATATTGCTATCAAAAATCGTCTTCTTTGCCGTCCCAAAATAGGCCTTGATGTAAGGTAAACTGGAAAATAGATTTAGGAAAATATCATGTGTTTTCCATATCAAATTATGGTATTCTAAACGCCACAATATAATACAGTATATCCAACACAAATTTATTGACATTTAAAATCGATGCACACCACCCACCAATTCGTGTCAAATTCAGCTTTAATATTCTACTCAATCCCTTTCATTTCATGACAAAATACATGCCAGCGAGAAGACACCGCTAACTCCTCCCAACTTTCATCGGACGAAATTAATTGGACTGCCAAAACAAAGCTGAAATAATTTTATTCATCTTTTGTTTCGCTCTTAAAATATCGACGGTGCATCGATGAATGCAAAATAATCAACCGAAAAAAAAGAAAGAAACCCAACTCTTACCTTCGAATAAATTGTTCATTGGAAAGGCGATGGCACAGCAATTTAATGATAACAATTTGCATAATCGGAAATATTGTTGAAATTAATGAAACAAGCAGCGATGCGGGAGTTACCGCATACACATCACACTTCTCTCAGATCAATAGCTGTACAGCATTTGGGAAAAGGCAACGCAACGAGGCAGAGGAAGAGAAACGGTTAAAGAAAAATTTGCACAGGAGGATCTTTAGTCTGGAGTTAATTTCTTGAATTTGATATTGAATTACAATTTTCCGTAATTTTCGATAAGATCTTGCGGGGATGGGTGCCTTACTTAATTAAGAAAACACTTCTGATACATATTACGAGAAATCATCAATTTAGATTCTACTTCCACCATTTATGTATTTTAAAACTATGTGGTTATTCGAACTTATGTTTGCACACAATCAGCTATGTATTTTCTTTATTTTACCTTGTCAATTTTAACTTCATAGAAACCACGGTTCCCATCACTTATTTTATTATCATACATTGTGAAAAAAAAAAACAAGTAAAAAACCTTATGTTCGGCCAGACCGAACATTTTTATTGTTACAAAATGGTCAACGTTTGTTTATTTGTGGAGAACGATGGTAATGTTTACTGAACTTTTCAAAAACCCATAAAGTGGGTGAGGCCGTAGTACGGGGGCCACACCAAAACGGGAACCTCCATAGACAATTTTATACTTCAAGGATTGTCATCTACCAAATCTTCTTAAATACTAAATTTGAAACAATTTCGTGGGTAAATATGACTACGATTGTCGAAATACCCAATACCGGTGGGTATCGTTATATGTGCGCTATGGGGAAAACGTGGACCTAAATATTCAATGTTCTGCCACCGGAGCTAGAACCCATTATGAACTACAAATACCAATTTTCAGACAAATACGTGGAGAAATGTGGCAAAAATCATGAAAACGCCGAATATAGGGAGGTACAGTTATATGGGGGCTATAAAAAACGTGGACTTATACTTGCAATGTTTCGCCACCGGAGCTAAAAACCATTATGACCTACAATTTTTATACAAATCCTTAAAAAATGTGGCGAAAGTCATCAAAGTACCGAATATTGAGAATTACCGATATACGTGGACCGATATATCTCATTTCCCATACCAATAATCTTAGCTTAGAATTTTGAAGCTCTACGTCAAATAATGTGGGCTGGATCGTGATCTCAACAGACAGACGCACAGACAAACAGACATCGTTACATCGACGTAGATTTTATATAGATAATACTAAGGGACGTTACAAACGGAATGACAAAGTTTATTTATCCTCCTTTTCAAGGATACAAAGGTACAATTTAAATTGCACAAAGTGCCCTTGACAACTACACCATGTCCTTATCTTTACACATCCACAAAAATGTTACGCATACCCAATGCAATACTTAATACTAAGAAGTCCTAATCGTTCACAAAAAGGCTTAATACTTGTTCAGGATTTTTTACACAGATTATAGGATTTTTTTAAAATCCAGCTCACCTTCATTTATAACCTGAACCTCAAAAGTGATTCTTAGATCATTCCGAAATCACCTCTTTGTCGTAATAATGATCAACATTTTGTCAAAATTGTTTTTTCATATATTCAAAACATCTCGCCCTATCTCATCACTTTCAAGGTTGCGGGTCCTATCAATCGCTAAAATACAATGTTGCAACATTTTGTACATGTTGGTACATTTTGTACCATTTAACAACAAAGTTCCTAATATAATACTTGTCAAAAAAGTAAGAAATCTACTTTTCATATGTCAGCTACATCGCTAGGTATGTCCATCGGGACCACATAGTATTTTAGTTGTGCACACTCTGTGCAAACTTTACTCATTACATGGTAATTCCGGATCCTTTCGAATTCAAATCGTATTTAAATCAATTGAATCGAAATTGTATTCTTACCCAAGTTGTTGTTGTTTATTTTGACGTTGGTGGCCGAAATGTTGAGGCTGTTGTTGATGGTACTGGGCAGAGTACCACCGCCGTCGATATGATGTAATTGAATGAACTCAGCAATTTTGGCGGTATCTCCGAGACTGGACTTTTTCAAGTTTGAATATTTTCGATATAAAATGGATGAATGATTTATTGCTTGCACTGGCGCAGGATCGATTTAGAATTGGTGTTTTAATATTTTTAAGTCTTTTTTTTTTTTTTTTCTTTTTTTGAAATCGTATTCTTTACACGTTTCGATTTGTGTATCTCTTACTCTCACTCTAACACCGAGTATAAGTAAGCTTATGGAATGTCTATGGATAACGTCTTGAAGTCCTACACAAAATACACTCGCATTGGATAGGCCATGGCACGGTACAGGAGGCAGACGACAGGGTATCGTAAGAACAAACTTTTGTAAACAAAAGTTTATCTTTTTGGCGGAAGTATCAGAAATTATTGGCGCTTTAGTTTCCCCCGGCTAACTTGTGGGTGAGGGTGGCTGAAGCTGAGCCAGACGGCGTTAACGAAACGATGATTTTGTTATTGCCTGGCAGGCTATGTCGGAACTTCTTGACGACCAAAAAACGAGGTCAAACAAATGGATCTCTTTTGCGTCTTTGTTTCCAGGAACATGCGTTGTATTGGCGGTAACGACACTATCTTCTTAGTGCTGGAATGTGGAAGGATGGCTGTGAGTGAGTGAATGAATGCCAATGCTGGTGAGAAAAGTTTCTTCAGTCCGCAATGTTTTTGCACTTTAGACGCACATTAAAAAGCAATTTTACTTTGATTTTATTGGCGATTTTTGTTGTCGGACGATTCTTGTTTCATAACGTGCCTTCTTATTTGTCTTTGATGTTTGTTTTCACGAGAAAATCACGAAACGAAGACGTCGATAGCGGAGACCTTATCGATTGCTCGGTCGGTCGGTCTGTGTTGTTTTTGCTTGCTCCAAGTTGCCGTCTGCAGTTGTTTTTTCTTCGTTGGCAATGACGATTTTCAAAACAACTTGTCGATGTAATTCAATTTGGCAAGTTTCTGTCATGCCGTACTTGGTTTGCTTTTTTTTTTTTGCTTTCGTTTGCTTCAGACATCCATAGTTTTGATTGTTTTTCCATTCAGATCGCTTTTCCGTTTATCACTGCTTTAGTTGTATTTAATTGTAAGTGTCTATCTTTTTTGTTCTTTTTGCTTTTGATTTTTCACAATTTTTATGTTTTTTCTATGAATTGTTTGTTGTTTTACGTTTCCTATAAAAACAAGAATATTTCAATTGAATTCATTGCCAGATTCGGTGCTCATGTTTCACATCTCAATTTTCTTTCGAAGTATTTGCGGTTTCTGATTGTTTTTGTTGATTGTTGCTTTGTCTGTTTCTGCCGGATTAAGAATGTTGGTGAGTTCCAAGTGTTTCGATTGATTGAAAGAAGATACTTGAGTATTATCGGATTAGGAAGCGCTCACAAATTATTACGAAACAATAAAAAAAAAAAAACAAAAAATTAAATACAATGGCAGCAAATCCTTGCAAATTGGTTTAAAATGCAGACAACACCAGAGATGCCCCAACAGATTCTTTTAGTAGCCGGTTTTTAAAATGCAATTGAAATTAGCAAAACATCCCACGACTATTTAATACAAATTTAGATCATATCCCCAAAATTATTTTCATAAGAATGGACTCTGCCACATGAATTACGGATACGTCGTTTTGTATTCAAATGTTTAAAAGACGATGTCGACTTTAAACTTTTGTAAAAATCACCAGTCGTAAGACAGACAATGTTTTTTATATATATATATTTTTTTTATTTATTTATTATTTTTTTTGAAAATTCAATCTTATCATCTGTGGACAAAATTACACACTGGAAATTGAAAGTAGAAATCGATTTTTGCTTTGAAAAGTCAAAATCAAACGTGAATTGTTTACCGACGTTTCTGTTAAAGGCAAGCATCTAAAAGTTCAAAAGTTAACTTTTGTCTTCGGCTACATATCCCAATATTAATTCCGACATGTACAATGTAAATTCCTTACCACCAGGGCTATTTTATTTGGATGACTTACAAAGACTAGATATTGGTAACTAGTATTTTAAGAACCCCTCACGACAATTCAGCTGTTTAAAATTGGTCTCTTCAATCTCAAAAATTTGCAGATACTTATTTTGGAAGGAAGCCTCAACATTCATATCCTAGGAAAACTTTGCCTCCGGTTTACATTTTACATTGGAAATGTCAAATGATTTAACGCATGTCGAAACAGAAAAAAAGCCCATAAAATATTTCGAGCTGGCACATAGAAAAAATAAATAGTTGAAAGAATAATTCAATGAAATATATAATATAAATAAAATAACCTTAAGGAGAAAAATAATAAATAGTTTGAGAACGATTACTGTATAATATTTGATTCATCTTCATATTTCCGGAAAACTAAAGAGATGCGTTCCGCTCAGTTCAACAGTTTTTTTCCTAATTCCCGAAAATGTCTACAACGAATAATGGGTCGTTGGTGTACCTATAGAGCATTCGATAGTTTTTTATTCACTGGTAAAAGACGAGCTCATGATAGTTTGGTTCCGAAAATCACCGCATTCTCGAAATAAATATAAGAATGTGAAACGTTCTACTTGTTTACACCCAATTAAGAAACACAAAGAATATGAATTCATGCACACACACACACAAATGTACGACCAATACAGTCTCGAGATTATAATACACAGCTGGACGATGCACTAGATTTTCGATGTTCTTCCATGCACTAATGCAACAAATATCAAAATTGGCCTGGGAATATGGTCCTCAAAGCCAAAACTCAGCAGAGAACACTCAGTCTGACAAACTCAAGTAACATTAACACATTTTTGTAAACGTTTGTTGTTTCACTCTCTTAACTGCTTGAAGATTTGTTGTGGTTTGAATATTTGTTGTTTTAAATTACTTTCATCATTTTTAAATAATTGACCAGCAACTTTTCACAAAAAACAGATTGCGTAAAATCCACCAAAATCAATGCCCAATTCTGACACTGGGATGCGATTTTGTAATTCTAGACCCAGTGATATAAGCGATTATCACTCGTATCCGGCGACATGCGGATGCGTTGAGATACCGTATTAAAATAAGGTCAACGAGATAGTAGTAGCTCGACTACGCCGTAGTACTCCACAGCCGTACAACTGTTTGGCCAACAACACATCTACACCGAGAGCCAACCAACACAACGAAAACTTCTCATCGAGCAGCAGGTTGGAAGGACATTGCTGGAATTTGCGATGAGTTGCAAACGAAGTGTGGAGCACAACAAAATGTTGAGGAATTCCGTCAGTGTAGGTGAGTGGTTGCATGGAAGTTGAGTTGTGTTGTGTTTGGTTGCAAATGCAGGAGAGAAAAACAAAGGCAAACATTTGAATGAAAAATGCCAGGATAGCTAGGATAGCGAGAAAACAATTGCTCCAATAAATTCATGACCAAGAGCAAGCCAACAAAAGAAGAGAGGAGAAACGCAAATCAAAAACAGTCAAGAGAGCCGAATAAAGAGAAATAATTACTCGTGGTGAATGAGAGAGATGCCCTGCGAGACATTCCTAAAAGAGAGCAATTGGATTTGGATCAAATGAATGTTCTTAATTTGAGCTCCTTGAAATAGCTCCCAGCACAATGTGGCCTAGTAAGCAATAACAATGGAGTGGAATGGGGTGGAGTGGGGGCGGTGTAAAACCAAAAGACCTACCAAAAATTAGTGTTATTCTTGACTGCCGCCAGCCAGTTTATGCTAAATCACGTTCACACTTTGTCGAGATGTTTTTTTTTTTTCTTTTCTTTTGTTTCTGTTTCTGTTTCGGTTTTATGAAATAAATCATCTTCATCGTCATTATCGCTATTATCCACTTCTGTTTTGCTATGACACACTTTGTTGTTGTTGCTTCTGTGCTTATGGTAAACCGGAAAAATTTACAATTTACGTCACACAACAACAACAACAATACATCTCGGTTGTGATATTTGATGTCAGTGGAGAAGCTCGCTCGTTTGTTCGCTCTAATCGCTCTTTTCCTCGATTCGAATGGACACCCACAACACCGCTGCCAACACACAGCCACAACATCATTATTCATACTTTACAAAGCACAACAGAGCGGAGCGGAGCATTGCAGAACACACACACACACACATGCCCACCCACCCGCATACACACACGCACGCCGAGACAATTTAACAACATTTTGTCTTTTTGCAGTGCCCCCACCCCGTTGCTGCTACCGCCACTGCTTCTGAATAAACAAATCAAGCTGAGAGAACGAACCCAAGCTCTCCAAAGTGTGGTAGCTTCGCACTACACCATAAACGACCCTGAACTCGAATGAAAAGAAAAAACCCCGACTCTAACAACAAAACCAACAACAATAATAGCCGAGGAGAAACATGAAATAATGCGCGTTAGTTTTATTAAATTTTGAGGAAAAAAGTTGCAAATGAAAAGCAATAAAACTTAATAAAAGTGCAAAACAGACATTTAGCGACCAGAACGGCGGATGGAATTCAGTTGAAAATTGAAGAACTGAATGAAAACAAAAGAGAATTTAAAATAGAGGAGAGGAGGGTTTAATAAAAATAAATATGGATTACCATGGAAATCGGAAGGATTGGAGACGAGTTGTGGGGTTATGATATTTATCTATCCTTCAAGTCGAAATTGTTCGAATTCATTACCGGTGAAATATTACTAACGGAAGGCTGCATAGCTTTTTAAGCGGAATTCATCATTCGATCCAATAAGTTAGATGCTATAAACTCTCCAGAAATAAAGTACATATAATTCGGAATCGAACGAATTTTGATTTAAAAGTTTCACCAACAATTTCCATTCGAATAAACTGTTCAATATATGTCAATATTTTGAGTATCCACCTTTTAACGGTGCCTCCCGACTTCCGTATTTGAAGGTTTCGGATGGATTTTTGGCGATTTTGGTTTTCAAAATCTGACATCCACGTCTTTCTGTTTTTGTGATTTAAATGTCGAGATGTACAAATATTTGACACATGGATCAACACCTCGAAATTGTTAATGACTTTATTGGTTTTGAAAAATAAACGTATGAAGCTGGACACCTTTGATTAGTGCTCCATGTTAAACAATATCATCAATGAATCTATTTCCCCAAATTTATTAAAGGTATTTCTTCTCGATAGAAAAACAAATTCGTAGGTCGAAGTTTAGATCAAAGAGGTGGAAATGTTCTGGAATTGTTATTAATGTCTTTTTGTTTTATTTCGATTTTTTAAAGAATGAAAAGGGGTCTTGAATTAAAATACATAAACTTTGCTCGGATGGTGGTATACAAATGTTGAATTGTGACGAGTTTAGAACTGTTGGATTAATACAAAATGTTAATGTATTTAATTTTTATTATTTGAAATGTTTTATTTACTTTTGGTAGACATTTAAATAAAAAAAACTTAATACAAAAATAAAATAAAAAACTTACAGGAAATAAAAAATATTTGCTCGGGGGTATGAATAAATACAACGCTTACTTCTGCATATGAAGAAGCACGGTACTTGAACTTGAAATTTGTTAAGATTTCTGCTTTCTCAAACAACAAAAACTGGTTCAACTTCAAGTTGGATTTTTTAAATTATAATTTCGACTAGTTTCGACTTCAATTATTTAATTTCGTATTTTGAAAACAACGAATGTTCTCTTCGGTGATTAGTAATCAAAATATCGGATCATATCAAAACACACACACACAAACATACACTCCGAGCATTGTTGATGATCAATTTTCTATAAATTATTTTGATAAAAAGAAAATATGAAAACTATCGGAGCGTCGACAGACAGTAAATCAAACAACAAATATTCTCATTGGCAGAGCATTTATTTACACTTTTGTAGCCAATCCGGCAGACAGACAAACTCTTGTTGGCACGCATACAAAACAACACAATCGAATAGCAACAACAACAACCACAATAATCACCCACCACTGAACTCGGCGTTCAGATCGAAGCGCAGCACTTCGAACCGGTAGTAAATGCGTTAGGCGATAGTCGGTGACAAAAGACGGCGCACGTCCCGGAGCAAATGCAATGCCCCGATAAGAGATTTGCAGTCAATAACTCACATAGACGTCGGACGGTGGAACGCTTCAATGAGACGTGAACTTTTTGCCAATGTCGGTAGAATTTGCCCGCACACACACATACATACACCCGCAAACTCGGTCCAAAACGGCGGAATGAACTTGCAGATAGAAAACGTAAATCAATGGCGTTCGAATGGACCGTTGATAGACTAGCCGTCGCGCTGTGCCGTGTACGTCAGACTCTAAGCTCGAATGTGAACTGAAACGTGACGTTAGCAGACGGTGCAATGCAACCCCAATACGACACAGCTGAAACCAGACGAACACTCTCTCGAAAACAAATTACAAGCTATCAACAATGGATGAAACGGGGTGGTGGTGGTAGTCGCTTGGAGCTCTGTGTAGGCAAGAGAGGGCAAACGAAGAGCAAAAAATAAAAATGAAAAATAAACAACAACCCAGAATACAACGGCAAACAAAAACATAGTTGGCAAAGTATTGCCGCCACAGAAGAACAAACCAGCGCAGCGACACACAGAGACCCACAACACGAAGAGCTGTCAGACAGCACACATGTTGGGGTAGTACATCGAGTGCAAACAAACATATCGCTCATTTACCCCAAAGAGTACCATAACTGAAGACCGTGCAGTTCTTCAGTAAACAGTTCGCAGTTCTACCCCATTTTATACCTAGGCATCGCGATAAACTGTCATCAAACCCTTATAATTGGACAATTGGAGTTTTTGAGACCGTATTACACCTTAAATAACAATTGATTTAATTGCACAGAATTGAATTGGAATTGATGTAACTCAAATTATGTGCAATATTATGTGAACCACATATTCGAAATATTTACCTGATAATCACTTATCTCGAGAAATCCAAAACTAATTAATAGGTTTCCGAGGCTCAAATATATATTATATCAGAGCATTACATTTCAGAAGGAAAACTGAAGGCATGGTGCAGTGAAATAACGATAACCTCATTTCAATTGGAAAGTTTCCACATGTGAATGGTATCGGCATATAGGGGTTATAAGAGAAATTCGCTTTTATGTTGAAAGAAATATACAACTAAGTTTAGAGGTATCCACAAAATATGAAATAAAATTAGCTTTTTGGATGTAATTATCCCAAATTTGTAAACAGCTTACTTCAATACTACATATCGAAATAATTCCAAGTTATTTACTTTATATAGCAATTAGAGATTCGGGATTATTAGAAATTATTCAAGGAATTAGATTTTTGAAATGGTATAACTTTTGGCAACCTTCTATTAGCAAGGACTGGAATTTTCAGTATCATTTGGTGTTTTTGTAACAAAGACTACCTTTAGAGAAAAATTCAAAGGATATGTGTTAGCCCCAAATTTTAAAGATTAATTTATTTATCTACGTGAATACATAAATGCAGTATTTGGCAAAGTTACTAGTCACATACTAAAATGAGAGCACTAACGAATATAAAATACAAAATTTTTAAATAAACTCAAAAGAACATCAGTTTTTTTCTACCTAAAATTCCAATTCGAAAGCCAAGAAATGACTACAAAATATTTCAGAATGAATCATCATCTTTCGCTGTAAGGAAGAAGAGAAAAACAAACAAACGAACAAAAACAAAACAATGATGATTGCATCAGAACAACGTCAGAACAGTCAACAGCCGCATTTCTTCGTTGCAGCATTCGCATTCAGATTTAATTGTGGATACAAAATGTGTTGTTGTTGTTGTTGTTGTTGCTGCCGCTTTTGTAAGCGTACAAAGAAATTAAAAGAATTGTTTTTGTTGTTGTTGTCGTTGCAAGCATTTGTGCATAAAGTTGCCAAACACAGTGGGGGCAATCGTACCCCATGTAAAAATTTAGCATCTTCAACATTTCGTGTACTTGCATAAAAGATCTTCTTCATAATTTCGTAATTCTTCTTTCCTCAAATTATTTATTATTTATTTGGGATTCGAAAAAGGAACTTATTCATGCAGATCAAAAATGTAAAAAAAAACTCTGAAACAAATTCTATTCCCACTATTAAATGTCAACTTATTATCAACTTTGTCACAAAAAACAAAACTTAAAACTTAAAAATACCGATATCGCAGTTTTACCAATGGTGCCCATGAACATTGTGTAGACAATACCATTGGAACGCATTGCGAAAACTTTCCAGAGACAACTGATGTCTAAAATGATTGCGAATTTCCAAATGTCATAACCGCCATGAGCTGTTGCACCTTATTCTTGTTGCGGTTGTTTCAAACCACTTAAAATGTATTAAGAACCTTGTACCAACATTGTATCGGGAAGTACAATTATATGGAGGCTACCCTATACTTTTCGAATTGAACAAAAGACAAGGGCGCTATTTGTAATTCTTTCGGAAGATAAAGCGATCGCAGGATCTGCGTTGACTTCTTCCCGATCCAGGACAATGCATATAGTGTGTTGAGCATTTAGTGTGTGGTGTAAAGAAAGTGTGACCACTAGTGAAATTGTCGCTCAGGGTACTTTATATACATATTTTGTGATATAATCCCCAAAAGAGATACTCAATTCCCGGTCTTTGATTCCAATTCAGCAAACGTTCTGTCAATCAGTTCTCGGTTAACATTTAACTATTAAATACATTTTAGATGTTTGTTATTTTAAACAAACAGTTTTAAGATCTGGATAGTCAGAAAATAATATTGTTGCATCTGTCCAACTCTCATAATCGGATAACAGGAAAAAAGGATAAATACTTTATAGAATACTTTTTAAAATTTTTTGAGCAAAATTTCTAGAGAGTTGTTAAACGTAAATAAAAGCTATCTTAAGGTCCTTTTATTACGATTCAAAAACAAGTGGAAATAGATACGGACAGAAAAAAAATGTTCTACAAAAATATATTCTACTGAGATGTTACTGAAGAGATGAAATCCCACCGAGAAAAGAGACGTTGGCAACCGAGAAAATCTTAACACCATAATCAACAATCGCAAAAAATCATCCTTAAAAAGTGATCTCCATTCTCCAAAACCATGTTGCATGGTGGTATTGTTTTTCTGTCATTTCTTCCTTCATTTTATATGACAACGTCACCCACTGTGCCTGCTGTAAATATGTGCAGTCATATTCTCAGGAATTTAGTAAACGTATCCAAAATAAAAGGAAAACAAGCAAACAGAAAATGAAACTGGCGCAAAGAATTGTGAGGTAATGCCAGGGGGAGGATTGTCGTATTTTATGGCATAACAAGAAACGAAACAAAAAAGTTTTCAGAAGCGAAGAGAAATGACGCGAGCTGTAATGTAAACTGTGAACAGCCACAGCACATGGTTTGCAACCACTTACAATCCACACGGCATTGCTCTCATCCACTCCAACATATTCACCATGTGGTGAATTCGAAGAGAACCTTTTCTCACCCGAAAGAAAGGAAGAGAGAGCCAGCCAGTGTGTGTTTCTCTCGGCTAACTGAAAACATGTAACACATTATTAATGAGGTTCATTGGTGTCCTGGTCAGAATAACATGAACAACAACTACAGCTCCTGTGGCACGGCGAAACATTAAAGTGTTAAGAATGTTTGACCCGACCTGTCATGTTATGCTAATGCCTCAGCAAAGGGGGCAACAACCGTCGAATGCTGCATCTCTTTGGCAATTCACTGCCCATGCCACTCCCTTGTTATAAAATTCACCGATCCAGTTCACCCTTGCCCCTTGGCCCACATAGTTAAGTAGGTGACCCCGTAATGTGTTGGTTGTTGCAACAACCTGATGTTAGCTAGGATAGGTCTTCATCCCAAGAATGTTGCCATTCTCTCTGGTAATCGAGAGGTAGGTGGCGTACGGTTTTGTTGGCATCAAAGGTGCGTTCGTTGGCAAGAGTACACGCAGGGATTAATACCAAACAGGCAGCATTTGACATTCAAAACCACATCCCGCCTCGGGATGAAACTAAGTAAAAAATTGTTGGAGTATGAATTAAAAAACGGCGAAATGCCGTTGGCTGGTGAAAATTAAAATTTCTCAGAGGCCTTAAGATTCCACACAAAATTCAAGCTGATAAAAATCAAAAACATGTAAGAGTCGTACTGCACAGAAAAATTGTTTTTGGAATTCGGGATACCGTCTATAGTATTTCGACGGTGAACATCGATTTTTGGGAATCGTCAGTATTTAATTTCCTTGAAATGGGTTTTAAAGTACCACAGGCAAACTCTTTCAAATCACAACTGATGCCTTATATGATTGTCAATTTCCAAATGTCATAGCCATCCTGAGCTGTTGCACCCACATCACAAAAGTCTTAGTCTTGTGCAATGTTGCAAATGTTAGTTGAATGAAATGGACATGTGTTTCCATCGCCAGACTTCCGTCCAAGGCAATCAGGGGCCAGACATACACACATTACTCACTCAACGTAGCTGAGGCAAAAGTCCGGAGCTAAAGAATTTGCTTTGTTGTCACCAGCGTTGCAATGCAAAAATATCTTTGCATTCCATTCATCCGTTACTGGATGGAAGAAGCACTGCTCTCTCCTGACACAGACATGCTCCAGCCATGTGCCGGTCATTAAGATGTGTCATAAAAGTCATGTCGACACAAATTCTGCCATTACCCCCACCTCCATCGCTGACCAGCACTCAGAGTTCTCTGTTGTGTGCCGTCAGTCAGAAAGGAATTACTCTTCACAATGGCCAACAAAATAACAAGACCAGGCCGGCGTAACTTTGCTATCAGCCGTAGACAAGCAGTGCATGCGATGCATATGATGTCGTCGTACGATAGAAGCAGACCATCCGATGGCATCACATCTCGAATTCAAGTCGTAGAGTTGCCAGTGTTTATTACATTTGCAGGATTATGATTACGATTACACAGTTCCAATTACAGACACAATTATGCAATGATTGAGGGGAGGGGCGGTGGAGAGTTGAAAATTAAATGGAAACTAGAATTATGTGGCTCAGATTTTACCGACTGACAATTCAATTAGGCCGCGATTACCTTAAATTAAATCTACGGCATCTATTTCAAATTAGATGTCTCGTTTCAGCCAGCGGCCCTATCGTTGACTAGTTCATTTGTGGCTCAATACCCATTGGCGGAGCGGTGCAAACCAATGGCCAAGCTCACGCAGCAATTGCATATTCTCTTTTTATTTTCAGTTTCATTTCCGTTCACAGATCTGTGGTAAACTATCACTAACGTTGCGATGTGAGTAGGAGGGGACAAGCAACAACGCTGAACGT